CTCGGGGATGCTCGCACCGGCTGCTGCGGGGATGCTGCGGTGGCCGGGGGGCTCTCCCCCCCTCGCCAGCCCGGGGAGCTGTGCCGGGGACGGGGCGCTGCCCACGGGCACCAGCCGTGCCCCTGTTAAAGCCTTCTCCTCCGCGTTTTGTGATGGAGCACGGAAAATCGGGGATGCTGCAACAGATTGTCGAGCCGCACAATTAAGTCGATTCGTTACTCCGCTCTCCTCGCGGAGAGCAATTTCTTAAAGCTTAGCAAGAAATTTTCTTACGGGGACGGGAACCTCACTTTTGTTCCTAAGGCGAATCCATCCACCCCTCTTCACCACCCCCAAACGCAAAAGTAACTGCGATGGCAAAAATCAAAGCAGCCCCGCAGCTGCACGTAAACAAAGGTATCTTTACCTGCAGTTGTAGGTCCTGATTTCCTTGTTATCCCTTTTGCACTTGACTGCCACAAAGATCATGGTGACAAAAAGAATGGCTGCAATAGACCCCAGGGCAATAATGAAAATCAAGGAGAGGTTAACAGATCCTATGGACTCCTGGGCATCCAGGGCAGGAGACAGGTATATCAAAATCAAGGCAGAAGCAGAGAGAGATGTTTTCCCATGGTCATGAGCCACCACGATGAGCTCATAGGCTGTTTTGGCATTTTCCCCAAAGGCTCTGGTGGTCCTAATCTCTCCATTCACCTGGTCGATCTCAAAAAATCCTCTGTCTCCTTCCACCATTTCATAGGAAAGTCTGCCATTTTCACCCTCATCATAGTCATCTGCCTTGACCACCGTCACCAAGTAGCCAACCCCCGCGTTCCTGGGGATGTACACCTCCGCCGTCCCGTTGACCAGCGGCGGGGCCGTGATCACGGGCGTGTTGTCATTCACATCCAGGACAATCACCCTGACAGTGGCATTGCTCTGCAGGGAGGGATTACCCCCATCTTTCGCCAAGACCTTGAACTCAAAGGCCTTGGTCTGTTCATGATTGAAGGACCTCAAAGCATAGATATCTCCAGAGTTGGGGTTGATGGAGACATAGGTGAAAACAGGCATGTCCCTGACTTGGGAGGGCACGATCTGGTAGGACACGCTGCCATTGAGGCCCAGGTCGGGGTCTCTGGCCGAGACAGACAGGAGGTAGGCCCCCGGGGTGTTGTTCTCCTGCACGATGACTTGGTAATAGGGCTTGGAGAAGTGGGGATGGTTGTCATTCTCATCGGTGATCTTGACAGTGAAGGATTTGGTGGCCTGCAGGGAAGGGATGCCATTATCCCTAGCCTGGATGGTGAGGTTGTACTGGTCCCTCTGCTCCCGGTCCAGCCGCCCATCCACCAGGATGGTGGAGAAGCTCTCGTACTCCTGGAGTCGAAAAGGCACATTGCCCAGGAGCTTGCACTGCACGCGCCCGTTGGCCCCGGAGTCGCGATCCGAGACGCGCACCAGGGCGATGACGTACCCCGGCGGGGCGTTCTCGCTCACCTCCACCAGCTCACTGTTGACAGAGAGCAGGTTGATGAGGGGCGGGTTGTCGTTGGCATCCTGGACACTGATGGTCACTTTGCAATGGGCGGGGATGGAGTTAGGCCCCAAGTCCTTGGCCTGCACGTCCAGCTCGTAGACGTGACCCTCCTCATAGTCGATGGCACCGCTCACCGTGATGAGGCCACTCTGGGGGTCGATTTGGAAGAGCTCCCGAGCCCGCTCAGAGACGTAGCTGTGGAAAGAGTAGAGGACCTGGCCGTTGGTGCCCTCGTCCGGGTCAGAGGCATTGAGGCGGATGACTGGCGTCCCCGGTGGGGCGTTTTCAGGCACGCTGACGGTGTAGGCTGGCTCCTCGAAGAGCGGGTTGTTGTCATTGGAGTCGATGACGCGGATGCTGAGCTCCACTGTGCCAAAGTTGGGTGGGTCGCCACCATCCAGCGCCGTGATCACGTAGCTGTAGTGGGACTGGGTCTCACGGTCCAGGCTCTTCTCCACCACCAGCTCAGCAAAACGGGACCCATCACCCCGCGTCTTGGTCTCCAGCCCAAAGAGGTCATTGGGGGTGATCTCATAGCTCTGCACACCAAAGCTGCCCGAGTCCGGGTCATAGGCACTCTCCAGCGGCACCCGGGTGCCAGGGCTGGCCGTCTCCGAGATCTCCAGCTCGATCTGGTCGGTGGGGAAGCTGGGCGCATTGTCGTTTAGGTCCTTGATCTCCAGCTTGATCACGCAAATCTCCATGGAGCTGGACATCACCTCCAGCGAGATGACACACTTGGGGCTCTGTCGGCACAGCAGGTCCCTGTCGATCTTCTGCTTGGTCACCAGCAGCCCGGACCCGGGGCTGATGTCCACCAAGTGGGGGGCCGAGTTGGAGACCACCCGGAAGGCGGCGGGCTGCCGAGGGTCCAGCACGAAACCGGCGTCCCGGGCGTCCTTGGCGACGTT